TTCAGACGCGTTCATAGGATGCGTCTAGACGCAGCACTACACTATGTGAACCACCAAACGCGTCCAAACGCGTTTTTTCTGCGTTTCAGAGTTACATGGGCATTTTTTGTAAAATAGAACAACATAAGAATACCAAGTAGAAATATTTATTTTCGTGAAATATGGAGTACAAATGACAGAAGATGAAGATGAATTGAAGAAAAGAATGAAGAAGATGATCGAATATTTTTTGGATCCGCGACATTAACCATAGATATTCTTATTTACATATTTCATTTTATCATCATGTTTCTCATGTTTTTTGCATTCGAGTAGTTCAAAATCCATTTCTATAAATAGATGTCATCATATCAACATGTGCATATTGTTGATCAAATGATAAATCTGAATCATTGAAATCTTTAGAGTGAACACGACTTGTTCCATAAGAAGTTCTATATCAATTATCTTGATGTCGAAATGAATGTAATCAATGATCGTCATCATATAGGTTCAATACTTTCAGACTGTATTGAACTCAACCGAATGGTGCTGTATATTGTTTAGGACAATCAAGTGGACCATAATGTCATAGGTTTCTGAACTTATCACGAAAGTTTTATGTTTACATTGATCGAACCTGTTATGATATCAAACCATCTTTCTTTGATATTTTCACATTTATCTCTAAAAATATAAATAAAACCTGCGAATTTGTGAAAGATTTCAAGAATCCTAATCAAAATCTTCTCAACATTATGCGCTCTTGCTAAACGTCCACAAGTATCTAGAATCAATGCTAATAGCTCACTCGTTGGAGTCGTTACCAAGCAAATATGGTATAGCAGCACGAAGATTTGTCTCATATGAAAAATACATATTCTTTATTTTGCACATGACATCACTCAAATATCATTAAAATCTAGTTGATTACAATTAGGCAGAATAAACTACTAGAATGCTTAACTAATCAAAAAGATCGAAAATGTAGAGACTTGTCAAGAGCAGAAGTTGTCAGAGTCATCGGTAATGTCGTACAATAGTTGCTTCAAAGTTATGGATGATCATAATGATTATTAATGAGGAGGTTCATTTCAATTAGTAATCATTGATTTTTATTGTAAAAGATTTGTTTTTCTTATTTTGTTAAATAATAACAAATTTAAAAATCTTGAGCAGCAACCTGACATTTATTTTTCATGCATAAAAAAATATTCATTTCCGTGCGATATCAGTTTAGTGTAGACGCTATAACTATTTAGAAAGCAAATAGTTACATCGAGAGTCGTTCGCAAACATTATGAACAACATATGGTGTCTAAATGATTTCAATATATGGAAAATTTTCTCTCCAGTCAACGAATATACACATAGGTGGTATTATCAGTTAACTTATCTATAGAAAAAAAGAACTTACTCATGAAATAAATCGGAATACTATTTCATGTTATCTCCACAGTTGTTTTTTTTTGTAGATATCACATTTAGAAACTGATTGGAAATCAACATGCCAAATTTAAATGCAGTAGTAGTGAAAAGTGAAGATCAAGTAAGTATGGCCGATTCAATGAGTGAAAACTATATATATTGTTATTTTTTGTTTATTTTTTAGTCTCCATTACCAATTGAAGAATCAACTGAAATGTCAAAAGTTTTATTAAAAACATCGTATGTGTGTAGTCAACTTTAAAGTATTAGTGAAAACTACCGATCGTTTTCTAGATGTAAAAATACGAAGAAAAAAATTCTACTACCACTTTTTATCTTCATAATTGTGGTTGCTATAACTACAACATTAATAATTGTAGTTAAAAAGAGAAATGTCGAGAAAACAACCTTAACAATCGGTAACATCACGATGGAACCATTAGTAACAAAACCAGCAGAACTGTCAACAACGACAACAAAAGACCCATGCAAGTATATACATTATGAATATGACTTGTAGATTTAAATTTATTTGTATTTTTATATTATTAATTCCCATAATGTAATCAAGAGTACATTAAATTCTTGTTCTATAATTTATTTTCTATGTTAGCTTCATCCAGTGATTTGCATTGGAATACAAAAGGGATCACTATAGGTATCAACTCATCGCCGAAATTATCATGTTCACGTCTATTTATTGATTCTAATGATACTTTATATGGTGTAGACAACACTAAGGCTTATGTTTGGAAGCTATCAAAGAATGATACAAATGCAACCATTATCGCTGGAATTTATGGATCAAGCGGACAGAGTAGTTTTCAACTGCATTATCCTGAAGATGTTTATGTTAATCAATATGGAGATATATATGTAGTAGATACTAACAATCATCGCATACAAAAGTTCGTTAATGGAAAAACGGAAGGGGTAACTATTGCAGGTCAGGGTGTAACAGGTAATGGTAGCTCGGATCTGTTGCTTTATCCTCGCGACTTTGCCTTTGACTCAACAGAGACATTCATGTACGTTGCTGATCGTTCGATGAATCGGATATTACGCTTTTTAATAAATTCAACAGTAGGTAAATCTGGAACTGTTGTATTCGGCAACGAACAAGATGGTAACCAGAAACACCAAGTGAATGGCCCGTGGAGTATTTATCTTTTACCGCCTATGGAAAATACTCTTTTCATCGCAAATCATGATGGACATTCTATAATGCGTTGGTCTATTGGTGAAATATCGGGTACTTTCGTAGCAGGCAAACCAGGTTTTGCATGTTCTGATTCTGATTGTCTACATGACCCGACCGATGTTCTAGTTGATGATCATTCGAATATATATGTAGTTGACTCGTTGAATCATCGAATTCAAATGTTTTGTCAAAATAACAAAGATGGTGAAACTATTATTGGAAATGGTATCCGTGGTAATAATTCAACACAGTTATCAGAACCACGAGGAATAGCATTCGATTCAGCAATGAATATGTACGTTTGTGATACAGGCAATTATCGAGTTCAAAAATTTCTTAAACTTTAATTTGATTATAGAATCTTATTCTATTGAACTTTTAATTGATATTTCAAACAAAAATGCAAAGAATAATTAAAATTCTTGCTTTCTTGATTATTCTTTGATACAAACGACATGAATATGTTCTCCCTAACTAAATTCTTATCGCTTTTCTCATAATATCATTTCTTTGTGTGATCCTTGTATACATATAAACATCTTCTCAATCTTCTTATTTCGTTGGTTATGCGTGGGTATGTATATCTGTTTGTCATCATTTGCTTTTCAAAATAAATATTTACAAGAACAACAACAATAGAATTATCATTTCTCATGTTAAAGAAAAGATAAAATTGATTGAAGATAAGAACATTGTTGATTGATAAATATTACTCACATTTTTCTACTCTTCAGATTAGTATCCTATGTGCCTTTTTTAATCAAATGTTCAATTTTCACATCAGTCTAAAGAAAAATGAATACAAAAGCAAATCAACATTCGTGTATATTTTGATAATTCTTCATCTATTGAGGGTGTCATGAAAAAACTTTTTTTCAGTTAAATAGAGTTCGTTGATTTCCAAGTTTTGATTGTGAAATNTTACGCTTTTTAATGAATTCAACTGTAGGCAATTCTGGAACTGTTGTATTCGGCAACGAACAACGTGGTGATAGGGAACACCAAGTGAATGGTCCATGGAGCATTTATCTTTTACCATCTATGGAAAATACTTTATTCATCGCAAATCATGATGGACATTCTGTAATGCGTTGGTCTATTGGCGAAATTTCGGGTACTTTCGTAGCAGGCAAACCAGGTTTTTCATGTTCTGATTCTGACTGCCTACATGACCCGAGCGATGTTAAAGTTGATGATCATTCGAATATATATGTAGTTGACTCGTTGAATCATCGAGTTCAAATGTTTCGTCAAAATAACACACATGGTACAACTATTATTGGAAATGGTATCTCTGGTAATAAATCAACACAGTTATCAGAACCACGCGGAATAGCATTCGATTCAGCAATGAATATGTACATTTGTGATACAGGCAATAAACGAGTTCAAAAATTTCTCAAACTTTAATTTCATTATAGAATCTTATTCTATTGAACTTTTAATTGATATTTCAAATACAAATGTAAAAAATAATTAAAATGTTTACTTTCTTGATTATCCTTTGATACAGACGACATGAACATGTTCTCTCTAACTAAATTCTTATCGCTTTTCTTATATTATCATTTCTTTATGTGATCTTTTGTGTATACATATAAACATCTTCTCAATCTTCTTATTTCGTTGGTTATATGTGGATATGTATATCTGTTTGTCATCATTTACTTTTCGAAATAAATATTTACAAGAATAACAACAATAGAATTATCATTTCTCTTTCATTTTATATATTTCTGTTGTAAAAGAAAAGATAAAATTGTTTGAAGATAAGGGCATTATTGATTGATAAATATTACTTACATTTTTATACTCTTCAGATAGTAGTTTATGTGTCTTTTTTAATCAAATGTTCAATTTTGACATCAGTCTAAAGAAAAATGAATACAAAATCAAATCAACATTCATGTATGTTGATAATTCTTCATCTATCAAATATTTAATGTCATGAGAAAAATTTTTCTCAGTTAAATAGAGTTCGTTGATTTCCAAGTTTTGATAAATTCTTTGAATTCTTTTTTTTTTTCATATAAATCCGATGGTAAAATAAAAATAATAAAAAGATATATTGATGGAATAAATGATATAAAATAAGCAGAAAGAAAGAAGTATGGATTTTGTGATGATTTCATATATGATAAGATTAAAGAAGTAATAGAACTAATTAAAATATGTTTATATTCAAGAAATTCTTTAGAAAAATGTTGGTGAAAAGTTTGATTTCTCTTTAATTTACTAGGAATTTGAGTTATATTAATGATTATATATATAAAGTTGAAAATAAATTTTATTGATTAAACCAGATAAAAATAGAATTTTTATTAAACATAAAATGAATTTTTGTCGAATTCATTTGTTGAAATAAATCTAATTTTAGTTAAAATTCATAACATAAAATATCATTGAAAAAGTTAAATGAAAATCTTTGTGTATAAAATTGATATATTATAAACCAAAATAAGAATCAGAACAAATACATATTGATCGATTTTCAAATGATTTAATACAAATAAAATCTTTTCAACAATAATTACAATTAATAAATCTTTCATATTGATGTTCTGACTAATTTGAAAGACATTGACAAACAAAAAATAATTTGTATATTTTAATATTTATAAGATATCGATCACCATTTAAATATTTTAAAATATAAAGCGAATCGAAAATTGATTGTTGAACAGGCAAATGTAATTATGAAACAATTTTGATTAACAAGTGTAAAAAACAACTTGTATAATAATTTCAAGTTTCTTTATAAAAAATAAAACATCAATATATTAACTATAATTCAATATTTAAATATATTTCATTAAATTTTAATAAATATTTCTCACTTTCAATTCAAAATAATCAAAAAAAGTTATGAAAATTTAAAATAGAGATTTTCAATTTTTCATTTGAATAAATCACATAAAATTTGTTGAATATCAGTTAAATTTTCATTATTATTATTTAAACAAATTAATTGATAACGATTACAAAATATTTCATCATCTTTGTTTTTATAAAAACAATCATTTTCACTCATAAGATAAATATAATGATGGAATACATTCATCACAATTTGAACAATCAAAAGTAACTTCATGAATTCTATTTATTTCGTTCTTCGACAATAATATTAAATTTATCTAATGTACTAAGACAATCAATGTTTCTCATCGTTTATTTTCTCAATAGAAAAATATTTGAAATTAGTTTCTTCTAATATTTATGATATAACGATATAAATTTGAAAGACATTTGGATATGAAAATAATTTTGTTCGTCTTCACTATTCGAACACGATCATATTTCGTATAAATATTATTACATTCAATTTTATCCTCCTAGTTGATCTAATCGATCAAGACAATCAGAATTATTTAGATCATCTTTCGAAAAAATCTTTTGGAATACAAAAAAACATTAATTCGACATAACTGAATATTTTCGATAAATATAAAAAGTCATCATGACATG